CCGGCGCCCGGTTTGAGGTTGGGGACCCGGGAGCGACGGGGCGTTCCCGGGTCGCAGGCGGTGGCGGTGGCGGCGGCGGCGGCGGGGCAGGACGACGACTCGCCGCCGTACTTCCCTCGCGCCGTCGGGAAGAGCCCGGCGCCCGGGCGCCGGACGGAAACATGCCCGCGGCGTCGGAGGGCGGCGGGTCAGGACCCGCGAGGTCGTCCGGGAGGGGATGAGGGGCCAGGAAGCCGCGCGGACGGCGACCGAGGCCGGGGCGAGTCGGGGTCGCGCCGGGGCTCCTTGTGAGTGAGGCGGTGGGAGTTGAAGGGAACTCCTGGAGACCCCGGTCCTCGTAGAAAAAAGACGCGAGGGCCCCCGCCTCCTCCGGCGTTCAAGAAATCCGTTGGGAAACCGGGAGCAGCATCCGGGTGGATGCCTTTTTGTTTTCTTTACCAACTTTACGTTTGGAAACGATTGTCGGCTTACAGACGAGTTGCAGAGATACTACAGAGGGGTCGCACGTCGCCCTCACCCCGTGTGGCAACTTTTCGTTAATCGGCCCGGCGGAGTTACACTGTGAAAAGTTGGGGGCTGATGACTTTTTCACGGACAGCTCCTGGCTTGAGCGGCCTTCTTTCTGGGCGCGTTGGGTGACCACAGTAGCTCCACATCGGAGAGGTCTTATTACCATATTGACACAAACACCCACAATTTGCTGATTGCATTTCCATCAGTGTGTTGTGCTTTGAAACCCAAGTTGAAACGTTGATTAGGAAATCTTGATGCCCCTTATTGATTCAGTCAACAAAACGTATGCACTCAGCTCCGTGCCAGGGTTCTCGGGGCTGCGGATGCAGCGGTGAGCCAAGTAGACCGAGCCAGCCCCTGCCCTGTACAGCTTCTAGGCTCTTGGCAGAGTCAGAGAGGAGGGAAAAGTTAACGTATCAGGTGTGTGGGACGGCGCTGAGTACGGTGAAGAAAAACGAAGCTGAGAAGGGGTTTGCCATTATAAACAGGGTGAAGTGGGAAGGCCTTACTTGAAAAGGTGGCATTTAAAGTGGAGGCCGGAGGCAGGTAGGAAGTTTTCGGTTAATAATTATTCAAGCGTCTGCCTTGTTTAGCACTGAGCCGAGCTCTGTAGGTTAGCGGACAACCGTGGAGTGTAGTTCAGTTGGGAACATCGGATTCCCATATCCTGTGGGGAAATGAAATCCAGAGAAGGCAAGGGACTTATTTAGGGCCACCTGTCTCCTTAGTCTCCTGATGTTCATGGTCCTGCTCCAACACCCTGCCTCCTGCAGCCTCCCACACGCACCTGAAACAACAGCTGGCCTTCTAGGCAATACCGGCAACCCCCAACTTAATCAGTTTTGTCTCAGCAGTTCTTTGGTAACTTGGGTTACTTAGAATACAGAAACTTTTTTCCCATTAGAAATATTGATAAAATTGCGGGGCCTCTGGCTGGGCTCCATGAGTGGAGCATGTGACTCTTGATCTCAGGGTTGTGAGTTCAAGCCCCATGCTGGGTATAGAGATGACTTAAAAAAAAAAAAAAGAAATATTGATAAAATTTCAATGAGATACGGTGAAGAAAAAAAGAAGCAGGGGACTTGAGTTTTAGTGGTCTGACATTTCCCAGCTGTGGGACTCTGGGTTCATCATTTCCCTTTTCTTGTGTGGCAGTTTTCTCATCTGTAAGTTCTTTTTTTTTTATTTAATTGTTTATTTATTTTGAGAGTGAGACAGAGAGTGTGGGTGAGGGGGAGAGAGAGAGAGAGAGAAAGAGAGAAAGAAAGAAAGAAAGAAAGAAAGAGAATCCCAAGCAGGCTCCGTGCTGTTAACCCAGAGCTCGACACAGGGCTCAATCTCACGAACCATGAGATCGCAGCCTGGGCCAGTATCAAGAGTCAGATGCTCAGGGTGCCTGGGTGGCTCAGTCAGTTAAGCATCTGACTTCGGCTCAGGCCATGATCTCATGGTTCGTGGGTTCGAGCCCCGCGTCGGGTTCTGTGCTGGCAGCTCAGAGCCTGGAGCCTGCATTGGATTCTGTGTCTCCCTCTCTCTCTGTCCCACCCCTGCTCACACTCTGTCTCTGTCTCTCTCAAGAATAAATAAACATTAAAAAAAATTTTTTTTAAAAGAGTCGGACGCTCAACCAACTGAGCCACCCAGGTGCCTCGCCTGTAAGTTCTAAGGGCTCTTCCAGCTCTAATCTTCTGTGTTCATAAAATGATTAGGTTACAAGCTTAATTTAGTCTGCTTAGTCTGATAGTCCACATGGTGGCATGTCTTAATAACAACAACTAGCATTTATATAGTGTTTAATATTCTTTATGCCAGGCAGCGTTCCGAGTCTTCCATTTGTGTTGTTTCATTTAATCTTTACACGAAACCTATCCTATAGGTGCTGCCGTTAGTCCCATTTTGGATATAAGGTAGCTGGGCACAGTGAGGCTAAGAGTCTTGCTCCAAGCCTTGTGGGTGGTAGAGTGGAGCTAGGCGTCCAATCTGGGCAGCCTGACTCCAGAGGTCATGCCCTGACCCCTGTATTCAGTGCCTCCCTCTGTAGAAGGGAGGGGGAGTCCTTGGCTGGGAGAGGAGCTGGCCACCTCCCAGAGTAGCAGGTAGGATTGGTTGGGACCCATGAACAGATGGACAGGTCATTTGTTTTGAAGTGATTGATCGTATATTGGAGACTCGCTTTCTAATTGCCAGACCGTGTGGTCCAAATAATAAGCACTGTCGGCGTTCAGAAGAGGGGAAGCTGTGAGGACTGGTAGCTGTGGGGAAGAGGTAAAACTTGAGCTAGACCTTCAGGATGGGTGGAATTTGAGTAGGTGGAGAAGTTCTTCCCAGTCAGGGCAGAATAGCCAGAGTAGAGACCCAGAAATGAGGGTGAGACGGTGCTCCCTTGTGGGCAGCAAGCAGCCCGGCTTGGCAGGAGGGTGTGTTGGCAAAGTCAGTCCAGGCAGAAGAGTTTCATTTGCCCATGAAGGCCTGGAGTGGGGCACAGCATGAGGGAAATGACACCAGAGGAGAAGCAAGCAGGGAGACTTGACCGGGTGACAGGACTCACTGGAGCGTAAAGCTGTGCAGGACTCTAGGGTTGAAGTTGTCCACCAGAAAGATGTGTTGTGGGGGCGCCCGTGTGGTTCAGTCGGTTAAGCGTCTGACTCTTGATTTCGGCTCAGGTCATGATCTCACGGTTTGCAAGTTCGAGCCCCGTGTCGGGCTCTGTGCTGACAGCACGAAGCCTGCTCGGGATTTGCTCTCTCCTTCTCTCTGCTCCTCCCCTGCTCATGCGCTCTCTCTCTCTCTCTCTCTGTCTCTGTCTCTCTCTCTCAAAATAAAGAAATAAGATTTAAACAAAAAGAAAGAAAGAAAGATGCGTGGTAAATGCCTCCTGTCCAGGGCCATGACTTACTGGTGTCAGCCTGTCTCGCAGGCCCAGAAGAGCACATTGGTATGATTGGGATGATTAAAAGAGATGTTGCAAGAGAAAATGGACAGACGTTGATGACTGAGTAGATGTAAGGGAAGGAGGCGGTGACTCATATATGACTGTTGTGATTTCCTTAACTTTTCCCGAAATATGCAGGCCTCTGCCATCTCCTGTGATTGAATAGGAGAGAGCAAAAACTATTAGCTAAGCAACATGCCCTATTAGAGCATTGACCGTCTCAGTTTCTAAGTAGAATGGAATCTTGTGCGAGGTGACCGTACAGACTCTCTTGAGGGTTGAAGTTTAGTTGGGGGTAGCTACTTGAGTCCCTCCTTCCCATTCCCCTTTCTGAAGCCAGTGATCAACCTCTGAGGAACGGTTGGAATTAAATGCCCGTTCTGTCTTACAGGCGGTGGGCACGTATCCCTTTCACAGACAGCCAAAGCAACTATTTTTTTTTAAGTTTAATCATTTTTGAAAGAGAGAGACAGAGTGTGAGCAGGGGAGGGGCAGAGAGAGAGAGAGGGAGACATGGCATCTGAAGCAGGCTCCAGGCTCTGAGCTGTCAGCACAGAGCCTGACGCGGGGCTCCAACTCATGAACCACGAGATCATGACCTGAGCCGAAGTGAGATGCTTAACCGGGTGAGCCATCCAGGCGCCCCCCAAAGCAGCTATTTTATTTTATTTTATTTTATTATTTTATTTATTTTAGAGAGAGAGAGAGAGCATGAGTGGGGGGAGAGGGCCACAGGGAAGGAGAATGAATCTTAAGCAGGCTCCACACTCATTGCGGAGCCCGCGGGGCTCGATCCCACGACCCCGGGATCATGACCTGAGCTGAAATCAAGAGTCGGACACTTAACCAACTGAGCCACCCAGGCGCCCCCCAAAGCACCTGTTTAGAACTGTTTTGTTTCTTCAAAAAGAGAGCAAGTAGATTGCTGACGTTTATATAGCACTTGCCCTGTGCCAGGCTCCGTTCTGAGCATTTTATCTGTATTAACTCATTTCATCCTCAAAATCGCCCTTTTGTGATAGGTCATTCTTGATCATCCTCATGCTATAGGTGAGAAACCTGGAGCACAGAGAGGTTAAGGAACTTGCCAGCCAGTCTGTAGCAGAGCTGGGATGGGAGCTCAGGCAGTCTGGCTCCAGAGTCCATGCTCATAATCCTACGCTGTACTGAAATTATATCATGTCTTACATATGAGGAGCTATTAGAGATCTGTACGAGAAGTACAGTCACCAGTTATTTACGTACATATCTCCATGTGTTATACCTACATACACATGTATCCATATATATTTAAATGTTCGGAGATTGTATTTTAAGTTTCAGGATGACTGAGAGCGTGTGTGTGTGTGTGTGTGTGTGTGTGTGTGTATTTTTAAAGTATAGGAAGTGGAAAAACCTCAAGAGAAATGGAAGGAACCATTAGGGAGAAAAAAAAAGGGATGGCGGATAGCCACAAGTAGCCTAAAATGCAAACCAATTAGAAGATTTGACTAGAGGACACTTAACAGATGGGGGGAAAAATAAACCCATCTGAGAGATTGGAAATAGTGCAGGCTATTGTTCTATTAAAATACTGAGGTTAAAAAACAGGTTTCTTTTATCAACATTTTTTTTTAATTTTTATTTTTGGGACAGAGAGAGACAGAGCATGAACGGGCAAGAGGCAGAGAGGGAGGGAGACACAGAATCGGAAACAGGCTCCAGGCTCTGAGCCATCAGCCCAGAGCCCGACGCGGGGCTCGAACTCACGGACCGCGAGATCGTGACCTTGCTGAAGTCGGACGCTTAACCGACTGCGCCACCCAGGCGCCCCAAAAAACAGATTTCTTTTAAAAGTTTATTGATTTATTTCGAGAGAGACAGCACGAGTGGGGTAGAGGCAGAGAGAGAGGGAGACAGAGAATCCCCAGCAGGGTCCGTGCTGCCAGTGCAGAGCCTGATGTGGGGCTCAAACCCACGAAACCACAAGATCATGACCTGAGCCAAAACCAAGAGTCGGGCGCTTAACCAACTGAGCCACCCTGGCACCCCCAAAAATAGATTCTAAAAGGTCTTAAATTGCCTTGAAAATTGAGGTGTGATTTATTACATTACCATAAATAGGTAATATTTTTTATTATCGGGGCTTTAATGTTTGCGTGGGAGTAGGAAGGTAGGGCGTCAGGAAGTTTGCTGCCGGGTGTTTCTGGAAAGTGCGGAATATGGCAGGTAAGCCTAGAGTAGATCGTAGTCTTCGGGAGGAACGAAGTTCTTATTAGAGGCTCTAGAGCTGACAAATGATTTGTCTTCACGGGTGCTGATGTGGCGTTAGAAAGGCCAAAATGAAACCGCTGTATACGCCCGTAGTTGCTTAGAATCCTGACGCCAGCACTGTTGCCTGAGCCGTCGATGCTTCCGGACGCTAGCTGGGTTTTAACTCAGTGCAGTGGGAATTTTCTGCCTCCGCTGGTCCTGCCGCGGGCTGCGCGTCCCCGCACTTGGGCCTTTTGGTCACCCTTGCGGGAAACACTGATGGTAGAAGAGTCGGGAAAGGGAATGAATATCCAGAGTCCAGAGCCTTTGGGGAAATGCCAGCTACGTAGTGCCTGTGGGGCTGATGTTTGGGGACCAAAGGAATCTTTTGTTCAGTTGAAGAGGAAGGTAATGGCATAAAGTATTTACGGATTATGTAAGAGGCCCAGTGCACTCCAGTGTGTTGGCATAGAGTATAAAATAGAGCTCTGTGGATTGGTAAATTAAAGACAACGGTATCCCGTAAGCAATCAATAAGGACTGAGTTTGCAACTTGGGGCAATTTGGGAGGATTTATTTATTTATTTGTTTTATTATTTTTTAAAGGTTTATTTTATTTTGTGTGTGTGAGAGAGAGAACGCACGCGAGTGCAAGTGGGGAAGGGGCAGAGAGAGAGAGAGAGAGAGAGAGAGAGAGAGAGAATCCCACGCAGACTCTTCACCACCAGTGCGGAGCGGAGCCCGATGTGGGGCTCGAACCCACGAACCGGGAGATCATGACCTGAGCTGAAGCTAGACGCTTAACTGACTGAGCCATCCACACACCCCGAGATTGTTTTTTCTTTAATGAGTTTAATGAACTTTATTTTGGAATAATTTTCAATTTATAGAAAAGTGGCGAAGGTAGAAGAGAGGTTCTGTCATCCGGTTCCCGGGGGGTGATTTTGGTAGTCCTGGTCTCAGAAGCTCTCGGCAAAGTTTGAAATGGTGTTTCCTTTCCCCCACTCTATGTCTTTCCCTGTTTTTGGCAGAAGCTTTAAAACTCTTTTCCCTGGTGATAGAGCTGGGTCCAAAACGATAGAGTCACTAAGTATTTGGTGGAGGCAGTGGTGGGTTTTCTCCAAATGAAACACATTTTTAAGATACTGGTTCAGTTTCCCTCTCTTCTTCCCTCTTCAGATTAGTCAGAGCTACAGTCCCAGCTGTTTAGTGTCAGACCTCAGAGGAATGACAGGCACTGTTAAATCTTTCTCAGTACTTCTTTGGAAAAGTTATGAAAACAGTTCCCGGGTCACGTTAGCAAGCACGATTAAAGACACGCTGCTGAGACCCACCCGCGGAGCTGCCGAGATTGACGTGTCTGCACTGAGTGAGCTGTAGATCCCGAGCAGAGGGAGCCCCGAATTCCTGCGGGAGGAAAACAGAAATTTCAGGCCGCACTCTTCCCTGTGTCCACACTAAAGCAAGTAGTTAAGAACGTGGCCCCGGAGCCACACTTCCTGGGTTGTATCCCGGCTCTGCCATTGACGAGCTAGGGGACATGGGGCAAGTGACTCAGTGTGCTTGACCTCGGTCACTTCATCTTCAAGATGAGGCTCCTCGTCCCTGTCTCGTAAGGTGGTCGTGAGGATTCGGTGCATTAGTATGTGGAGAGGACTTAGAACGGTGCCTGGCTCGATACCCGGGAGCTGTTGTTCTCTCAGTCATCCTATTCTTGGCCTCTAGGACTTGGAGGAATGGATCAAATGACCCACTAAAAACCCTGGCCAGTGCTGATAAATGTACACCTTGTGCTTCATTTGAACAGAAACTCAGCCGCCTGTGACAAATTTGAGCGTTTCTGTTGAAAACCTCTGCACGGTCATCTGGACATGGGACCCTCCTGAGGGAGCCAGCCCGAATTGCACCTTATGGTATTTTAGTCATTTTGACAACAAACAGGATAAGGTAAGTTTTCTGGAAGGTATTGCATTGATGAGGCAAAGTGAGCACTTTGAACCGGAGCCAAGAATAAACTGAATTCTAACCTCACTTCGAAGTGGGAATTTTGTCTTGGGTTGCGTCTAAATTTTACCTGGGAAAATGACTGTTGAAAAAAATCGAGCGTTTGAACGTTTGAAAATGTTGGCTCATTATTTGATAATGAAATGCAATGAGATACTCTGTTGGGAAATACTAGGTATCTTTATCTACTGGGCTCTCAACAAATCATGGCATTAGCATTTCTTCCTGTGTTCCCGCCTGCATGTATATAACGCTTCCAGTTTCTCAGGGAGTTTTCCCATTTACCGTCTTGCTAATGACACGCACGCAGGTATGTAAGAACTATGTGACACAAAAGTAATTGGCCATATGGAAAGTGAAAAACTAAGACATCGGTGGCAGATAGGGTTGGCTAGGTTTCCCGATGCCTGAGGAAAAATGAGGGGAACTTTCAGCCTTTCCAGTCAGATGTAGTCAACTGATATAAGTGAATTTTTGTTAACAAGATTGGATAATTTCCAGATTCTTTACGGTAGTCTTGTCCAGTGGAATTTTCTCTTGGGCCCTATCGTCTTGTAGCCCCTTCTAACTGACAGATTCTTCAAAGCATCAGATCAGCTGTTCAAAACTATTTTGTATCTTTATACCTTCTTTCAGTGAGGGGAGAGGTCAGGGGTGGTTGGGGTTGAATTTGTCAGGGACTATGAGAAGGCTGAATGGGAGAAGTTGTTACTAGTGACGGTGCTCTGGATCAACGAACCGTGGAATCATCATGTTCATGCAGCCTGGCAGCAGGGGGAGTCAGGAGAACTAGGCTCTAGTTGGTGGCCACTCAGCGATCCCTGTGGCCTGGGGTAAGTTCTTGAACCTCTCTGAGCCTTAGTTTCCTGCTGTGTAAAGTGTGGCTCTACTCTCTTCTCTGGCTTTCTGGGACATGGAAAATCATGTATGTGAAAGCTTAATAAAGCAAGGATGAAACAGGCTCTTCCTCTTGAGGGAAATTTACTAATCTGCCTTTCTTCCCCCTTTTCTGCTGGGGTGTTAATTATGGGTTAGGTGTTCATTGATAGAGAATTGAGGCTACTCAGGGTATTTGCTTTTTTTTTTTTTTTTTTTTTTTTAGAGAGAGAGAAAAGTCTTTAAGCAGGTTCCATGCCTAGCGTGGAGCCTGACGTGGGGCTCCACCTCAAGACCGTGAGATCGTGACCCTGAGATCATGACCGGAGCCGAAATCCAGAATCGGATGCTTAACCGACTGAGCCACCCAGGCACCCCAGAAATATTTGCATTTTATTTAAAAAAAAAATTTTTTTTTCAACGTTTATTTATTTTTGGGACAGAGAGAGACAGAGCATGAACGGGGGAGGGGGCAGAGAGAGAGGGAGACACAGAATCGGAAACAGGCTCCAGGCTCTGAGCCATCAGCCCAGAGCCCGACGCGGGGCTCGAACCCACGGACCGCGAGATCGTGACCTGGCTGAAGTCGGACGCTTAACCGACTGCGCCACCCAGGCGCCCCGAAATATTTGCATTTTAAGAGGTCCTCTGGGTGGCTCAGTCGGATGAACGTCGCACTCTTGATTTCAGCTCAGGTCATGTTCCCAGGGTCATGGGCTCGAGCCCCAGGACGGACTCCATGCTGAGCATGGAGCCTGACTAGGATTCTCTCCGTCTATCCCTCTGTCCCTCTCCCCCACTTACACACACACTCTAACATTAAAAAAAAAGAGGTCCTCTAGACCCGAATAGACATTTTTTCCAAAGAAGACATCCAGATGGCCAACAGACACATGAAAAGATGCTCAACATCACTCATCGTCAGGGAATGCAAATCAAAACCACAGTTAGATCTATTGCTTCATACTTGTCAGGATGGCTAGTATCAAAAGGACAAGAAATATCTGGGTGCCTGGCTGGCTCAGTCAGTAGAGCATGCGACTCTTGATCTCAGGGTTCTAAGTTTGAGCCCCACATTGGGTGTGGCGCTTACTTAAAGACAAAATCTTAAAAAAAAAAAAAAAAAAAAGGACCAGAAATATCAAGTGTTGGTGACGATGTGGAGAGAAGGGAACCCTCCTGCACTGTTGGTGGGACTGTAAATTCTGGAAAATGATATGGAGGTTCCTCAAGAAATTAAAAATAGAACTGCCCTACGGTCCAGCAGTTCCACTTCTGGGTATTCACCTGAAGAAAATGGAGACACTAATTCAAAAAGATACATGCACCCCTACGTTTATTGCAGCGTTACTCACAATGGTCACGGTAGGGAAGATGAAGTGATGAAGAAGATGTGGTATATTTATACAGCATCATGTGACTCGGCCATAAAACAGAACGAAATGTTGCCATCTGTGACAACGCCGATGGACCGAAGACAAATACCCTGTGATTTCACTCATGTGGACTCGAAAAAAAACAAACGAACACACAAAACAAGACAGAAACCGATTCACAGGCGCAGAGGACAAGCTGATGGTTGCAGGGGACGAATGGGCAAAGTAGGCGTAGGGGATTAAGCCGTACAAGCTTTCGGTTATAAAATAAATAAGCCATGACGGCAAAGACCACGGCGTAGGGAAGACAGCCAACAATATTCTAAGAAGTTTGTGTGGTGACAGATGGTGACCAGACCTACCGTCAGGGGGACCGCTGAGTAAGGGACATAAATGTCGCATCCCTGTTTTGCGCACCCGAAACTAGTATGTCAACTATACTTCAATGAAAAAAAAGAAAAAAGAAAAAAAGCAAGCCGACAAAAAGGAGATGCCCTCAATGCAGAAGTTGAGCTCAGGAGTTGAGTTCCCCTTCCGCTCTGTCGGCTTCCTCTTGTTCCTAAGGAGGGGCCATCAGGCATTTGGATTCTTAGGGGCAACTCTCAGTACTTCAGGCCCTGCGAAATCCCAGAAGAGACCTTATTTAAGGGCTTCGCCTAAGTATCGCGTTGAAACCGAGGGGAGGTCACCTTGTCTTCTAACAGGTCCACGTTCATTAGCCAGCCAAGCACACTCGAGGGTCGGTCGCGTAGACACGGTGGTATCGTAGCCTGGAAATGGGGCCGACTCCACAGGAGAGATACAGAAACTGAGACTTGAAAGCGACCGTAGGAGGCAGTGGAATCAGAGAGGATTGGGTTTGACGGTGTGTCTCTTCCCCTGTCAAGGCATGTGACCCTGGGAAGGTCACTTAACCTCCCCGAGCCTTCATTTCCTTGTTTGTAAAATGCCAGGGTGGGACCCACCCGACGTCAGCGGCGCGTGCATTGGAGGAGAGGATGTTCGCAATGCACCTGGCCCCGAGCTCATGTTCCATAATCATCCCTTTTCGTCTTCTTTTTCTTGTTATGTCGAATCACATGAAATCGTTGCTTTTATAGGTCATATGGTTCAACCTAACATCACCCTCCATTTTGCCCCTGGGGAGACCAGACGGAAACCATGAAGAGTGACCTCTGCCTGAGGCCTGCTCATTTATATTCCAGCCACCTGACCTCTGACCGTTGGTGCTGTCAGTGCCACAGTTGTGAGAAACACGGATTATCTCTTCTAATCAATGATGGGAGATATCCCATGTGACCTTTTGAAGTTTTTCAGTCCTGAGGCTGAGAACGAGTGGCAGGAGCGGTTTCCCTTTCCCCTTCCCATCCTTTGGACAAAGCATTAAGATCATCAGATTGTCTGGTATACGCTTTGAAGCAGATCACAGTAGTGGCTTTAGGATAGTTTGTACATGTTAGGGGGGCTTGTGAGACCGTCTAGAGGTCTTACATTGCTAAATGAGATAAACCCTTGAGGTCACTTTCAGTCTTCAGATTGGAGGGCCATGAACATAAGAGACAGGGATTCATATACGATTTTTGTTTTTTTAAATACAAGATGAGTTTTAAGTGGCTGCCCTCCACCATTGTTGTAGCAATATCTCCTAGTTTCCCAGTCTGGTGAGTCGAAGAAGGATCTGGCATCAGGTTTTGTTTTTGTTTTTTTGGCTGGTTGTTGTTAAAAGAACGTTGATTTATGTGCTTTGGCATCAGATTAGGTATCTTTCATCACCAAGAGATAGGCAAGTCTCACTAGGTGAATAAATTAAAGAGCTGTTGTGCCATCCAGGCATCCAGAGAGGCAAAAGCCGAGGCCGGCGCACTTTTCCTACTGAGAAAGGAATCTGGAATTGGGAAAGGTGTGATCCGGCCAAATGAACGTTGGTCCTGAGGGGAAGGGATCATTTCAGGACTCTGGCCTTGGATTTTGATAAATTTTCAAAGGAGCCCAGATTCCCTGAGGGGTGGAGCCTCGTGTCATACAGCAGCTACCCGTGGAATGAGTCACCGCAGCCAGCCGAAAGTCACGTGGGAGCCATCGCACGTACCTCATCAAGATCTGCTGGAAGGGGTTTAGTTCCTTGTCTGATAAAGGTGTGCTGGACTTGGCGGTCGTTGGCAGTTGGGGTTTCTACTTCTTTCGTGCCAATTGCATATTAACTTACCTTGAGCTACATGGGACTGGTGCTTGGTGAGACTGGGAGGTGGGTGACATTTGCGTCCCGGGGCCTTCGCGCCTCCCTGCCCACGGTCCCGGGGCCGGTCTCCGCTTTCACGGGCTGAGAGCCCTCACCTCCTCGGCACGCAGGCCACTCTCGAGGGCCGATTCCTTCCTTTGCTGTGAGAGCTCTCTCGGGGGAAAAAAAAAAAAATTCCAGAAAGCTTTGTGCTGGCATAACTGGCGTGTTCCATCCCTGTAGGCAGCACCTCCATAGAAAGCCAAATGGTGAGTCGGTTTCTTGTGAAGGATCAGAAATGAGTTGTGAAAATGTATTTGGCTAAGAGCAGCTGGAGGTCCCACTGCAGAAAGGCAGAGCTTTGCCGGTGGCACAGAATTAGTGTCCGTGGAGCTAGATCCACCCCCAGAACCTTCTGCCGGCCAGAAGGTTGCTCATACACCTTTCTTTTTCTTTGTTTCCTCGGGGCTGACCAGGTAAGTCCCTTTTCAGAGTGCTGTTGTGCCTGGGCCTAAAGCTCTTCAGTCTCTGATGTGATGTTTTTCCTGTCTTTGTTGCTGTGATTCATTAATTGTTGATGTACTAGCTCCCTCTCAGAGGGCACCCTTAATGTCTTGCTTTCGGGGGTATCTCACAGTTGTCCTTACACTCAGCTGGCAGCCGGCCTCTGAAATGGCAGAGCAGCTCTTTAGGACGGCAGACAGAGGCAGCCGTGACAAAGTTTTCACTTCAGGGCCGGCAGCACGTATATGAAAGGAAGTGCTATCTCCAACTTGAGTCAGAAACTATTGCAAAACAGGAAGCTCCTTGGAGCCCTGATTAAAAGCAGCTTCAGAGTTATTCCAACTCTGTCAGTTTGGGAAATGTTAATTTCCTAAAGAGCCCTCTAATCTCCTCATTCTAAATCCTAACCACCAGATTTGTGATTTACATCTGTATGCTGTCAGGAATGGTCATCTACTCTTCAGAATATGGGTGTGGTTCTCTGAACAACCCTTGACATTTCTGTGCATGTGTGAGGTAGTCACAATGGTCAGACATGGGGCACCGGGGTGGCTCAGTCGGTTTAACGTCCGACTTCGGCTCAGGTCATGATCTCGCGGTCTGTGGGTTCGTGCTCCGTGTCTGGCTCTGTGCTGACCGCTCGGAGCCTGGAGCCTGTTTCGGATTCTGTGTCTCCCTCTCTCTCTGCCCCTCCCCCGCTCACACTCTGTCTCTGTCTCTGCCTCTTTCTCAAAAATAAATAAGATTTTTTAAAAATGGCCAAACAGTGCAGGAAGATGTTTAATGAAAAGTCTCTCTGTGGTCCCCAGGCCCTCCTTTACTTCCTGCCCTCAGAGGTGACCAGGGTCACTGGATTCTTAAAGCAGTTTTTCACCTTGATCTTGATCATGATACTGCATCTGGTTAGGAATGGAATATTGATCATCTTATCGTGTTTCCTTTAAAGTTGCTTTTAGACAGTTGATGTGTTAGCATAGTAGGTTTATAGGTAAATGTCATAATGTTTGTACATTTAAAATGTAGGAAATTGTCTTTTATCTGTACTGGGGTTTCTCAGCCGTGGCACTGCTGAGATTTGGTGCGGGATAATTCTTTGTCGTAAGGGGAGGGAAGGCTGTCTTGTGCCTTGTACCATGTTGAGCAGCATCCTTGGCCGCTACCTACTAGACACCACTGGCAGCCCCCTCCTACGTTCCGGTGACCAAAAATATTCTTAGACTTTATCAAAAGTCCTCCGGGGGGGGGGGCGGGGCGGGGGAAGCAAAATCACCCCAGGTTGAGAGTCACTGTTTTATGCCATCCGATAACTTTCCATTTTTTTTTTTACACATTTGAACATGCCAGTGTTTTATTAGCTGAGTGTATTTCTGTGTATTTGCTACAGTAATGCCTTTTTAAAACTTCCTAACCTTAGAAAATTGCTCCTGAAACCCATCGTTCAAAAGAAGTGCCCCTGAACGAGAGGATTTGTCTGCAAGTGGGATCCCAGTGTAGCACCAATGAAAGTGACAATCCTAGCATTTTGGTGGAAAAATGCACCCCGCCCCCTGAAGGTAACAGCTGAAAGCACTGTTTGGTGGTATTTAGAGCATAAATCCAAATTATCCATATGCTCATGTTCGGTGTTCATTAATTCATTCAATTTTCAGATACTTGCTGAGTCTGATAAGCTCCAGGCATTGTACTAGGTGCTGACAACACAATGATAAATATGAGGATGTCCCTGCTTTTGAAGTGCTCACAACTTGAGTAAATGCCTAGTAGTTACACAGCACTTAATAATTTGGAATACGGGTATGTCTGGGTGGCTCAGTCAGTTGAGCATCTGGCTTCGGCTCAGGCCACGATCTCATGGTTCGTGAGTTCGAGCCCTGCATTGGGCTCGATGCTGTCAGCACAGAGCTCACTTTGGATCCTCTGTCCCCCTCTCTCTCTGCCCCTCCCACCCCTCTCAAAAATAAGTAATTTGGAATGTGATATACACACATATACACCCCTCCCCTAAATTAAGCCTCATAAGCTTGTTGTGTTTTTTTATTTATTTATTTATTTTTGGTAGGGAGAGCGAGCCTGCAAGTAGGCGAGGAATAGAGGGAGAGGGAGAGAGAGAATCTTAAGCAGGTTCCATGCCCAGCGTGGAGACTGAAGCGGGGCCCAGTCTCACAACCGTGAGATCATGACCTGGGCTGAAATCGAGTCAGATGCTTAACCGACTGCGTCACCCAGGAGCCCCAGCTTGTCTTGTGATGTGAGCAAGTTACCCGGGACCCATTCCATGAGGAAGAGGGGAACTGAGTGAGTTGCCCTAGGTCTTTAGATTACAGGTCCAGTACCTTAAAAAAGCCAAAATACTGTCTTCCTCTTTAGAAAGATTAGCTTGATAAACGGGACATATTTGGGGAAAGGTGTTAGAAAAGGAAAAGGGGCCCGCGGGCCCTGCTCCAGTTCAAGACCAGCCCTGGGCCCAGCTGTCACGTAGTTAGGTCGGTCATTGGCCCTCAGTTCCCTTCCCGCCCATCACCCAGATTCTTCTGGCTCTTGGCTCGCACGGAGGGAGGGGTGTATACTGATTAAGAGCAGGGCTGCCAGAGAGCAGATGTCCAAGCCGAAGTCTCAGCTCTGCCAGCCAGTAGCCGTGTGACCTTCAGCAGGTCACTTAGCCCCTCCCGCCTTCACTTTCCTCATCTGTAAAATGGGGATGATGACAGTACTTCCTGCCAGGACCGTTGAAAGGCTGATGTAAGTCACTCGAGGTGAGGTAGTTAGAATAGGGCCTGGCAAGAGCAAATCCTGTGTACGTCCTATCTATTAATGTCATGTTGCCCCTCGTTTGGAGGGTTCCCTGTCCCACCACCAGACCTTAGCGCTATGTGGCCTGGTCTCCAGACCATCCTCTTTGCCTGCCTTGCGCTGATCAAAAGTATATGAAGTAGTCTTTGTAAAAGGATAAAATTCAGTACTGCCATGAGGCTGGGAACATGGTTTAAAACAACTTAGCTCCCCTTCTCTCATTTCTTTGGGAGTTTAAGGAATAATCTGAAAAAGCCTACATCGTCTTGTGCCAGTAAAACAGTTGATGACGGCTCAGTCCAGTACCCCTTCAAGAATCCTGAGGGATAGCAAGTTTGCATTTTAAACAGAGGCATTTAACTTGGTGACATGATGCCCTAACTCCAAAGGCTTTATAAAGGTCGAGATTTCAGATGATAAAGACGATAGGGCTCGTAAAGTCATAATCCACAGCAAACAACTACCAAGAGTGATGTTATGCTTAACTTTTCCCCGAGTTGCTTCAGGAGGACTGCTTGTTTAGTCTTTAAAACAAGATGTGTTAGTAGGGGTCAAAAGACAGGAAGGTGAATGGTGACTCGGTAGACTTGTTTTCTTGAAAGACAGGTAGGTATATATGGGTCGTTTGTATTTTCACTTTCATTTAGGAATTCCGTACTCACTTCCTACGATTGAAACACTATTTGACCTTTAGACTCTCTCTCCAGTTAGGGCTACAAAGTTAGGGTCCCGCAGGGATGGTAAAGCTATTTCCTCGGTATCTGGAGGTGAGAGAGAGAGTTTTGAGCGAGTCAGATTTGGGTTTTCTCCATCCTGGGTGCCTTGTGGGTAAAATGGCATGAGAGATTAGGGATTGGCTTTCTGGGAAGACACTCTCACCGTCCCCCATGCCCCAGAGGGATTGGCAGGTTTGCCTGGCAGGGAAAGAAGGAGCCTAAACCCTTGGCTGGATATTGCAGGTGATCCTGAGTCTGCTGTGACTGAGCTGCAGTGCGTTTGGCACAACCTGAGCTACATGAAGTGTACTTGGCTCCCTGGAAGGAACACAAGTCCCGACACCAACTATACTCTCTACTACTGGTGAGTGTGCGCAGGAGACTTGCGGGGGAAGAATGGATTGCTTTTGTTTGGCGAGCACTGGGCTCTAACCTAATTAAAAACCGAAACCGAGGGGCGCCTGGGTGGCTCAGTCGGTCGAGCGTCCGACTCTTGATCTCGGCCCACATCACGATCTCACGGTTCGTGAGTTCGAGCCCCACGTCGGGCTCTGTGCTGACAACACACAGTCTGCTTGGGATTCTCTCTCTCTCTCTCTCTCTCTCTCTCTCTCTCTCTCTCTCTGTATCCGTCTCTCTCTCTCTCTCTGCATCCCTCTCTTGCCCCTCCCCCATTTGTACTCTGTCTCTCCCAAAATAAATACATAAACATTTAAAACAAACAAAAAACCAAAACTGAAAAAGAACAACCTGTTTTTTTGGCTTTATTTATCATTGTTTTTAATTGAGGTATAATTAACATACAATGTTCTATTAGCTTCAGGTGTACAACACAGTGATTCAACAATCACATCTTCTTTTTAAAAAAATTTTTTAAAAATGTTTATTTATTTTTGAGACAGAGAGAGACAGAGCATGAACGGGGGAGGGGCAGAGAGAGAGGGAGACACAGAATCCGAAGCAGGCTCCAGGCTCTGAGCTGTCAGCACAGAGCCCGACGCGGGGCTTGAACTCGCGGACCGTGAGATCACGACCTGAGCCGAAGTCGGCCGCTTAACCGACTGAGCCACCCAGGTGCCCCAATAATCACATCTTCTTTATCGCTATTCTTTTCACAAACCCAAGAGGGGGGCAGTATGCTTCAGTAGAAAATGCATCTGCTTTTGGTGTCTACTTTCTAAAAATATCTTTAAAAATTGTAGATCCCTAGGATGTTGCAAAAAAATGCACAGGGAGATCCCAGTGTACCGTTTATCTGTCTGTAACCAGAATGCAATATCAAAACCAGAAAGTTGCTGTGGGTACGATCCACCCACCTAATTCAAAGTTCACCTGTGTCACATGCAACCGTGTGTGTGTGTGTGTGTGTGTGTGTGTGTGTGTGTGTAGTCCTGTGCAATTTTATCACATGTGTAAATATAGAATAGTTCCATAACCACAAGGATCCCCTGAGTTGCCATTTTATAGCCATACCCTACTCCTTTCTGCACCCCCTCACCCTGCATTACTTTCCCCCACTCTCTGACCTCTGGCAGCTACTAATCTGTTCTCTATCTCTATAATTTTGTCATTTCAAGAATGTTACTGGAATAGAGGCACCTGGGTGGCTCAGTTGGTTGGACGTCCAACTCTTGGTTTTGGCTCAGCTCATGATCTCACGGTTTGTGAGACTGAGCTCCATGTCGGGCTCTGCGCTGAAAGTGTGGCGCCTGCTTGAGATTCTCTTTCCCTCTGTCTCTCTCTGCTCCTCCCCCACTCATTCTTTCTCTCTCAAAATAAATAAATAAACATTAAAAAAAGAGAATGTTACTGGAATAGACTCTTAGAACATATGACTGTTTGAGGGTGACTTTTTTTTTTAAACTCTGCATAATACCCTTGAGGTCCCTCCAAATTGTTTTGTGTATCAATAGTTCATTTTTTAAAATTTCATGGTATGGAGGTACCAATTTGTTTAAACATTTATTCCTTGAAGGATATCTCCATCGTTTCTAATTTTTTGCAGTCATGAATAAAGCTGCTATAAATTCTCATGCTCAGGTTTTTATGTGAACACAACTTTTTGTATCTCTGGAATAAATGCCCAAGAGTGCAATTGCTGGGTCATATGGTAATTACATATTTGGTGTTATAAAAAACTGCCAAACTATTTTCTAGAGTGGCTGTACCAGTTTACATTCCTACCAGCAATGTGCGAATGATGGGTGTCTACCTTTCAAAAGGAAAATGATATCATGCCCAGGGATAAAAAATAGGTTGGCTCAACACCTGAAACTAATGTAACATTGTATGTCAAGTATACGTCGATAAAAAAAAATTAAGGAAGCAATAAGAAAACAACCATTTTTGTTTGTTTTTGTCTTTAAAATTTTTTTTTAACATTTACTTATTTTTGAGACAGAGAGAGACAGAACATGAATGGGGGAGGGTCAGAGAGGGAGATACAGAATCCGAAGCAGGCTCCAGGCCCTGAGCTGTCAGCACAGAGCCCGACGCGGGGCTTGAGCTCACGGACCGCGAGATCATGACCTGAGCCGAAGTCGGCCGCTTAACCGACTGAGCCACCCAGGCGCCCCTGTTTTTGTCTTTATTTTTTTATTATTATTTTTTTAAATTTTTTTTTTCAACGTTTATTTATTTTTGGGACAGAGAGAGACAGAGCATGAACGGGGGAGGGGCAGAGAGAGAGGGAGACACAGAATCGGAAACAGGCTCCAGGCTCTGAGCCATCAGCCCAGAGCCCGACGCGGGGCTCGAACTCCCGGACCGCGAGATCGTGACCTGGCTGAAGTCGGACGCTTAACCGACTGCGCCACCCAGGCGCCCCTGTTTTTGTCTTTAGAGAGAGGGTGTGAGTGGTGGGGGAGAGGGGCAGAGAACAAAAGGGAGAATCTTAAGCTGGCTCCACACTCGGCGTGGAGCCGGACCCAGGCCTGATCCCACGGCCAGGAGCGGAGATCAAGAGTCGGACGCTCAACTGACTGAACCACCCAGGTGCCCGGAAAACAGCTATAAAAAAAAAAGTAGGTTAGCTCCCCACAAACTAACTTCTATCTGAAGTTTGTGAGCACATCTGCCAAATTTGTTAAATATCTAAATTCAACTTTACGCATTTCCTTTCCTTTAGAGCCTAGAATTATTAGTAGCAGAACAAGGCAGAAAGGACCAGGTTAAACAGTTCAGTCCAATAAAACTTTATTTGGCACACATTGTGGCTACAGCACTGAATAGGCAGCGGAGATAAGAAACGTGGCTCTTTGCTCGTGAAGTTTGAGATGTGGAGGGGGAGACATCACCCGGCGCAGTTACGTGTATAAAAAAAATACGTGTATGATGAAGGCTAGCGGAGGCACAAACTCATTTTAGAAGCTAGTGTGGACCTTGGGGTGGCAGCGGGGCAAGGCTGGGGGGGCTTTGTGAAGGGGGTGGACTGCACAGGTGGTGGGGGGCTCTCCGGGGCTGGGCTCTGGGGAGGAGTGTTCAGGAAGGGGTGTGTTTAGTCACTGTGATACCAGGCTACGGACGCCTGAGATCTTGCATTGGCTGTGTGCTCTCCACATGGCCCTGCCCCCCTTTCGGTCCTTCATTCAGACTGCTTCTGACACAATGGGGTGTGGAGGGCCGTGTCCGGGACTTCTGAAACTATAGCATAAACACGGGGCTGGCTCCCGGAATGTCCATTTGGCCCGATGACTTGATGAGAACTGTTTTTGGTATCTCCGGGCACTCTGGGTCTCGTGGACTAGAATGCAGAAAATCACAGGACCGTTTGGCCAGGACCTTCCAGGGAGGCCCCGGGGACTTGCGTTCACCTCCCCCCTCCCCACCCCCGCCGGCTCACAGGGCACTCCTGACAGCGTTGAGAAGCACTGCACGTGAGGCCAGATGGCACTGACATGGTGTGGTTCGGTCTTGAGGGTGTCTTCCTTTCCTCCGAGATCAACAGTTCTCGTGCGAGGCATTGTAGTTTTCCTGCCCACTGGTGGCCCCCGTTTCTGCTTTCCTCAAAGCCCGGCAGCGGCGGCCCGGTGGCTTTGCCATAAGGCCCACACTCCTCAGCACTACGGACAAAGCCCTTTCCGACCGCACTCCTTCCGCCTGTCTGGCCTCAGCCTCCTCTCCCCTGCGCACCTCCAGCCTCTTGCATCCTGCCTGCCGGCCTGGGCCGAGCTCCTTTCGGTTCCTCAGACAGACCCTTCAGACACTCCAGCACAACAGGGGAAGCACCCTGCGTCCCCTCCCAGCCCAGCCCTTGTCCTCTCCCCTCTGCTTTGCCCTAATCTCAGCTCACACACCGCTTCCTTCACAGAAAGCCTCCCTTGGCCTCCGAAGTCTAGATACGTGCCGGGTCGTCATGTCCCACGGTACCTTGCATTTTCCTGTGACATAGAACTCAGCACAATGTGTTGTCACTTCCTGTTTACTTATCTCCCTTGAGAGCGGCTGTGTTTTGTTACCCTCAGTGGCTGACACATGGCAGGTGCTCCAGAAATAAGTTTTAAATGCGTGGTACCATCCAAGGAAGCTTAGAGAACATTTGGGATTGGCAGGAGGACTTAGGACGGGTAAGCAACTCCAGGAGCATTTTAGTTCAGGAGTTAAAAGAGACAAGCATTGAGTAGATCGGACTCCCCAAAGAATTGCTAGTGAAGGGGTCAGAGAACTAAGCCTGCAGGGCACCTGGGTGGCTCAGTCGGTTGAGCATCCAACTCTTGATCTCAACTTCAGGTCTTGATCTCAGGGTTGTGAATTTAAGCCCTGCATTAGGCTCCATGCATGGGAGAAAGAAACAAGAGAAGAAAAGAAAAGAAAAGAAAAGAAAAGAAAAGAAAAGAAAAGAAAGAGAGAGAGAAAGAAAGGAAGGAAAGAAAAGGAAAGAAAGAAAAGGAAGGAAAGAAAGAAAGGAAAGGAAGGAAGGAAGGAAGGAAGGAAAGAAAGAAAGAAAGAAAGAAAGAAAAGAAAAGAAAAGAAAAGAAAAGAGAAGAAAGAAAGACTGCCTCTGACAATGTTGCAGTGCAATCTGGGGAGAGCTGTTACTACAGTCTTAGAAGTTGGTAGCATCCTTGTGTTTCTTATGCTGTTAACTCCTTGCTTTCCCAGGAGTTGTTATGGGAAAAATCACAGGGAAAACCTTAAAAGAGTCTGTGTCTATAGAAGGTTCAGAGGAAGGAAGGAAAAGTCTTAAAGCTGTATCTCATTCCATGGCCGACTGTGCAGGAAAGTAACTGGGATATAGGAGTCAAGGTGTGCTAGAGGTTAACGGAGGCCGCATCCTAGGGGTTCTTTTTTTTTTTAAGGTTTTTTTTTTTAAGTTTATTTATTTATTTTGAGAGAGAGCAGTGGAGGGGCAGAAAGAGAGAGAGA